ATTACCTGATCAAGAATGTCAGCAGACATGTCATCTATTCTTCTTTTCTTAACATTCTTCTCTACAAAATCCTTTGTCATGGGATTGTTTGCTAATGAAAATAATATATAAAAATAGCTTTAATAATACAAAAGATTTTACATGGCATAGTTAAGTCAATACAGTCCATTAAAGTTTCCTATGATTAACCATTCTCTGTGTTTTTTTTTTAACATACCTGTTACTGTCACAAGGGGTCTGTATTCACATCAACCACAGCTGAATATAAAAACACCGATCAGCAATCAGATTAAGTTCCCATGGCACAGATATTTTTTTTTGCAGTAGTTGATGATTTTACAGTACATGATTTTACATTTACCCAATAATTATAATTCATGAAGTGTCATTTTACCTCCAGTACTGCTGCTTTCAACACAGTAGCTGCTTTCAATACAGCAGCTGCTCTCTACACAGTAGCTGATTTCTACATGTGTGACTGGTCCATATAAGTACACTATGGTGCCAACCCTGTCACATACACCTGTATTTCTACGGGGTGTATGTGATGGGGTTGGCGTGATGATGTCATCGCTCCAGGTATTTGTATGTGGGCTTATCTGTATGTGAGGGGACCTGCCTGGAGATGGATAGAAGAGTGGTGTCTTGGTTCCTAAGACCATTGGAAATATGTTTTTCCAATCGTCTTAGGCCACCCTTGTGAAAGGGTTGTTCGACCCTCAAAGGGGTCGTGACCCACAGGTTGAGAACCACGGCCCTAGAGGAATGGCTCGAGATCCCTGCTTAAGACGGCATTACTGCTGTCAACTTGTCATCACGCATTGATAGAATCCAGGGAGGTATTATGGAACTATAAAGAAACATTTCACCATGTTACTCTTGCTCCTTTACGACAGACTGAGTTCATCTTTGTACCGTCAACATTTCTTCCTTTAGGATATTGCACAAAATAGGTGGGAGAAAAAAGCTGAATTGAATAAAATTGAGATCCTAGACCTCAAAAAGTGTTATATTTTATATTACGGTAGCAGATGGCCATTGGGCCTCCACTCAAGTTCTCCCTCAACACAAGAACACTTTGTTCTACTTACATGGCACTCTGTGATGCTCACCTTCCCTGACACGATCGCAGAAGACAAAATGGGTGCATAAGCAAATGTGGTGAAGATAGCTAATGGTGCCCGGCTATCAAAAGATATAGCATCTGGGATCTTGAGGGCTTGAAGATAAACAAGTGGACATCTAGCTGAGAAGCAACAAAGCCCACATGGAAGTAGCATACCAACCTGTGTGATCATGAGGTATCGATGGGATCAAGTATCTAGCATCAAAAACACAAAACTAAACAAAACAAAAAGTATATCAATGGGAATGAGGGAGGGCCAGAGTGGAGACCCAAAGCCCACCAGTAGTCAATTGGACACCCCCTGTCAGAAGGGCCCCAAGGAAGGGACAAACCAGTCAGGGTGTAGTATAGCACCCATGAAACATACAATCTTCCTCTAATTCTTTAATGTTTTCTACACCCCCCCCACTATCATAGCCCCAATTCTATCTTACAAATCTGGCTAGACCAGAACATGTATACTGGTACAGAAAAGAGCTCACAACACAGGGAATCCAGGAGAGATAAACCCCCTCAGGACCAATAAGGGGGGCGGTGCTGAGAGTAAAGGAAGGGTGGGGGGGAGTAAGGGGGAACTGATCACAATAATCAATGTGTGGGCTCCTCTCCCAGGGGAATGGACAGCAAAAAAGTGGGTGAAGGGAGACAGCGGTCAGTGTGAGACAGAAAAAAAAAAAGAATAAAAATTATCAAGGGGACATGGGGGAGGGAGGGAACAAAATGATGAGCTGATACCAAGAGCTCAAGTAGAAAGAAAATGTTTTGAAAAAGATGGTGACAACATACATTTGATACAATGAATATATGTATGGATTGTGCTAAGAGGTGTAAGTGCCCCCAATAAAATAAAATAAAAAAGTGTACTTTCTATGAAGGGATGAAATTTAATAATCTGGGAAGTTAAATAAAAGTACTTAATTGTATGTGGTCAAGTGCCTATTGCACTGTGCACATCCTAAGTCTCTAAAAATACAGAAAGCTGCAGGATTGTGAGGTGGCTAACAGAAATAGCTAGTCTTTGAACTGTTAACTAGCGTTCCAGTCCCCAGTCTTTTACTGTCTGCCTATGTGGTCTTCCAAATAACTGAGCTCCTTCTCGAAATGTCTTTCATCTTCTGTAAATGAGGAATGGCCACTTACCATGTTAGGATGTCGAGGTTTAAGTGAGGGACTGTATTTCAAGTGCTCAAATACTGGGTTTTGGAAAGCTGTGGATGATAGCGGTAGCCCCAAAATCTATTTACAGGGTCCCAAAGTGGACTGAGTCCTAGATGAATTCCCAGTGTACAGAGGCTAAGAACATTAATGGCCTTAATATCAGGCAAAAAGTATTGTAAAGTGGGTTTTCGTAGCTGTGTTTAGATTGGAATGTAACACCTTACAATTTGATCTCCTACTGAAACCAAGGAAAATTTTTTCTAATTTTTAATATTCTCTACTTGCACTTAGATTGAGATCTTTACCTGTCTTATATGGCCATTGTTGATGGGTCCTAGTTTGTTGCTTGTCCTTGTTTTGAATGTTTATCTGCACAGGGAAACCAAGATGGGTGAAATTAGGAAGACATTAGCTGGATTGATGACTGCCAGGGGGCATGGAAGGGGAGGGTGGGGGAATTGGAAAGTCAACATCCAGGGGTATAAGAGGGGGAAAAAGTTCCAAAATTGATTGTGGCAATGATTGCACAACCCTTCTTGATGTGAGTGAACTATTGAATTATGTGATATGTGAATTATAGCTCAACAAAATGAAAAGGAAAAAGGATCAAAAGGGCAGCATGGATCCAAGGACAAAGTTCAGAGTTTTGAAAAGAGAAGGAATGGAAACAGGCAACACAGAAAGTAGCTTAAGCGATGGTACACTGTGACGATTGTAATGGATGATCTGAAAGAAAATGTGTGTGAATTGTTAAATGTAAATAAATAAATAAGATAAAGTGCTCCTGCACATAATAGGTGGTACAGAAATAAAGGTTCTTGGGATAGCAGAGATTGCAGTTGGTTGGGCTTTGAAGAATGGGGCTAAAGGATGTATATCATGAATTCCTGGTTCTGACATTTAGTTTGCACTTTTGACAGTTGACAAGTCATTGGAATGCTCTGTGCCTTGTTTTCCTTATGTATAAAAAAGTGCTTACTGTACTCAGTGCCCTCATCATAGATGTTGCTGTTGCTACTGCCATTATTGTTATCATATTCGTTGCCTTCATCATCATCTTCATCAGGGTAGGGGATGGGCAGGAACCTGGCTTCCTCGGAGCTGAGGTTTCACATTTAGAATGGGAAGGAAACAAGATATATCTTTAAGGAAAGGTCTGATTACAAAATCATTTTTCAAGTGAAAGACTATTTTGATCATGGTTAAAGCCGTAGTTAAGGGAATTTAAGCTGGCCAGGATGTGGAGTTCCGTATAGAATACATTTTCTTTCACATCAATATTCTGAAATAAACCTACACCAGATTGTACATTTGTACAGGCTGCTTTTTTTCCTTTTAAGTAATTTTTTTAAAAGAATCTAAACTTAGTTATTTTTACTATGCCGAAACCTATTATATGATACACAGTAAAAAAGGAACATACCATGACAACAAGCCACTGTGACCACAGACCTTTGAAATTTGATTTGAAATGTTAAGTGGTTGATGCATAAAACGGTCATAAAATAGTAGAAGCATTTTTTTTATAAAGCCAGGAGAAACCGTATTTGCATTACAAAAAGAAATCTTGGTAGCGTTTGGCCTTTTCGATTTGGCATTCAAGTCAAGGTGAATGATAATTCAGTTAGTAATTAATGTACTAACCAGCATTTATCTTTAATTATTTTTTTCTCTCCCAGAACGATATCGCATTCAGAGTGAACAATTTGAAGACCTTTGGCTCATAACAAATGAGCTTATTCTCCGCCTTCAAGAATATTTTCAGAAACAAGGCATCAAAGACTTCACATGTTCTTTTTCTGGATCGCTGCCTCTTCAAGAATATTTTGAATTAATTGATCATCATTTTGAGGTATGCTGGATCATAACACATAGCATCTATTCTCTTTCCATGTAAAAAAGACACTAGATAGCGCCACTTGAAGAATTCTAATGTAACATGGATGCGCTTTGAATTCTTCTTCTTCTGTGGATGGTAGATTGTGTGCGTCCAGTCCTGTTCCGTGCCCAGTTTGTGATCTGTTGCAGACATTGACAAAGTAGCTGCCTGGAGCTAAGCATGTGGTCCGGCCTCATAACAGCAGATTTAATTCTCCCACATGGGGACTTAACCCTTGACCCCAATAACCCAGTGTTAAAACTATTTGAGTTTATCAGCATCCATTTGCCTAACTAATTCTAGCAGGCCATAAATGAGGTGTGATTATAAAGTACAGTGATTTTTCTTTTCTTTTTTTTAACAAGCATGCCAGTACTTCTACATCTGAATGAGGACTAGCCACTTAAAATATTCCCCAGTAAGAGGCACAATGGCTGCTTAGTAAATGCAGAGTGATTCTATGTCTGAATAAAGGAGTCCTCACTGGGACGCTGTTGACCTATTTCCACATTTTCTCTTTGGGAGACCCTATGGTGGCTGTGGGAGACTCTATTGAGTATCTCTATGGTATCAAATTCTCATCCTCTAAGGGTAGAGTCGATCTTTGGAAATTGCCAAGAGTCATATTTCATGAAGAGATTAGACAATGGTCATTTATTTCAAAAGACTTCATTTGTTGAGGTAAAGTCACTAGGCTCACTTCCTTAGTTATCTTATAAACAGACTTTTTATAGGAAATTGCAAATGGGGAATTTCAAAAGAATTTTGAACATCATCCAAGTTAGCACTGGCTTTGTAGAATGATTACTTTTTTCTTTTAACAATTTTATTAGCGTATAATTCACATATCAGACAATTCAATAGTTCAATTACAAAATCAATTTTAGAACATTTTCTTCTTCCTTGTGCTAATTGTTATTAGCTCCCCACTTCCCCCAACTGCTCCTGCCATACCCACAAGAAACCATTAATCCAGTTACTGTCTATAGATTTACCTATCTGATTTTCATATTACCCCCCCCCAAAAAAAAGCCCACATAAAAAACCCAACCACAATAACAAAGTAAAACAGAAAAAAACTCAATAGAAAAGAAAGCAGGAAATATTAAGGAACTACAACAACTTTAAAATGGTCAAAAGGGAGATCGAATAAGTGTCCAAGTGTTGAATTTTAAGGTGACTGCACCTGCAATAATCCACTTGCCAAAGCACTCTGCATGCCAGCAAGGCTGTTCCCATCCCTGGTTTTTGGTAGAGGGGCTTCAGCAGAGACTTAGTCCAATGTATGTTCCCTTCCCTTAATAACATTGTTTTATTAAACTGAAACAAATGACCACTTTTTATGGAATCTATAGGTATTTCGGTTTATTAACAATGATTTTGTGTTTGTGTAGGTAAGCGAGAATATCACTCAGATCACTTGTCTATCATCCCTTCAATGTTTTAAGAACACCTGACTTTCAGTTATTAAGACTTATTTTTTTAGTGCAGTATATGTATGTAAGTGGGAAATTTCAAGCGATTCAATCCCATTAGGAATAATTCTACCACTCATTATCAAGTAAGTTGAAGCCATTTGGGTTTTCCCACAACTACACAGAAAATACTGTCTCGAACAGTATGTAGTTGTGGCGCCAAGAGAGATCCTTTGGACAGGGGTATTTCTGTATCAAAAGGAGCCCTATAGTACAGTAGGTGATACATTGGGTTGCTAATTGCAGAGTCAGCAATTTAAACCCATCAGCTGGTCCATGGGAGAAAGATGAGGCTTTCTGCCCATGTAGGTGTACAGTCTTGGACACACAGGGGCAGTTCCACTCTGTCCTATATGGTCCCTGTGAGACAGAATTGATACATGGCAGTGTGTTTGTTTTAATTTTTGTTTAAGGACTTAGAAACTTTGCTGACTTCTGGGATATATTTTAGGAAATTCCTCCATTGTATCAAACCGTGTTCTAGTGGCTTTTGAAAGGGAGTTCACAGGAAAACCACACTAATTACATATTTGTATTATTTAAAATGGGGGTATTGAATTCTAATAGATTTTGACATTCAATTTCCTCCCTGGATTTTATGATATGTTTTTGCAAATACTCATTATCTGGTGCCCAGTAACTTCTGGTAGTTTACATATCAGGAGAGTGCTTTTGGAATTTGGCTGTCTTTGTTACATACACAAACTTAAGGGGGGCATGATTATACTTCTGTTGTTCATACAGTAGCTCTACCTTCTACTTTCACCCAATAGAATTAAAATATGGCCTTAAATATTGAGCTGACATATTTTGAAACCAAAATGTCCCTCAGCATAAGCTCCATGAATGAAGGTATGGATTTTTTAAAAACAAAACTTTTTATTGTGAATTGGGTGAAAAGTTACAGAACAAATCAGTTTTCCATTCAACTGTTCACACACATTCTGTTTCTTGTCATTCATGGCAATCCTCATAACATAACAACATTTCTTCCATGTGTTTTCTATTTCTAATCCTCCTTTTCCAAGCCTTCTGTACTTTGGAAGGCAGGGATTTTTGTGGACTATATCAATTGCTTTAAAATGTAGGGCCTATAACCATGCTTACCCCTAATTACATTCAATAATTGTGTATTGAATGTTTATATTCTGACACATGAAAACATTCAAATCACTGCCACACATTCAAAAGAGTCACTACCCAATGTATATTTCAGTTTTGAGAATCTTTTATGATTCTTTTTTTGTTCCATGAATTAAGGTAATAAATTACAGCAGTAAATTATATCATCAGAAGAGTGCATTATTGGTAATTATGCTAATTCTCTTTTTGCACTTTTGTTATTTTTAAACCTTTGTTTTATCTTAACTTTTGGTAGTGGTAGTTTTTATTATTATTTTTTTAATCAAGAGAATATTCTTTGATTTAGTTAGCTACTTGGTGCTTCTAAATTGGGATTAAAGAATTAATTCTAGGGTTCATTTATCTCTTACATATAATTTTTGTCATGTATCTGGAGAATAAATGCACTAAAATAGTAAAGATTTTTGGCTTCATACCAGAAATGTAAATCACATGTTTGGCTTCTGAGTATCTTTAATATGCATGTGTTTGGGAACTACTTGTTTCCTGCAGTTGAATTGGGGGTTGGATGATGATGTGATTTCATGGACTGTTTTTCCTGCCCTAGACTTTGAGTCGCTTTCTTTTAATTTCAATAATAATACACTTTCAAGTCAGGAGCAGGCTTGGAGTGAAAAAAGTCTCATCTCTGATCCTCTTCCTCAGCCACTCAGTCTCCTCTTTGGAGATAGGCTTTGATAATCCAGTTTCTTTTATATCCTTTCTAGGTATGCCCTGGTGGCATAGGAGTTACACACTGGGCTGCTAACTGCAAGGTTAGAACTTCAAAACCACCAGCTACTTCATGGGAGAAAGACAGGGCTTTCTACTCTTATATAGAATTACAGTCTTGGAAACCCCAAAGGGCAGTTCTACCCTGTCCTATAGGGTCACTCTGAGTCAGGATAGAGTGAGCTTGGTTTACATACGTTCTATGCCATCAGAACTATGTTAATAAGAAGGTTTTCGTCTTTTAAAATGAATGAATGATATTGCACATACTATTCTGTGCCTTTTAGCTTTGTTTCATGTAATGCATCTTTTAAGATAAAATTTTGTTTATCATAAAAACATGTATATTAAAGATATTCAGAAACCATACCAGTCTCTGGTAGTCCTGCTATATATATTTAAATATATATTATTACTATATATTTAATCAGTTCCCCTTTTGGTAGTCACTTTAATTGTTAATAATGTTTTACTATAATAAACAATTACATAATGATTATCCTTGTATCACATTTTTTGCAAGTTTATCTTTAGAATAAAGATATATGCCTTTGCTAGGTCAAATTTCTGTTAGCGGTGATCCTTTTCTCACTGATTTGTAGATACCTTCTAGACTATAGAGGCAAAAGCTAGTATTTATTGAAAACAGGGAAATAAATCACTAGAAAGAATTTTTTAGAAACTGGTGACTACAAAAAATCATAAATTGAGGAAAATTATACATGATTTTAGCTATTAACTTCCTGACATGTTAATTTAAGTCTTTCTCTTTGATATGGTGCATAGGCTTTTGTCTTTGATACATATTTTGCCGTTTTGTGTATGACTTGGTCTTGTCCATCCATCACTCACTCTTAGAATTTTTTTAACCATGTAGAATTACACTTTTATTTATTTTTTACTTAATAATTTTATTAGTTTTGTTTATGTGTAGGGGCTGGAAGTTGACACTTTGCTTTTTATGCATACTTGTGAGCCCCTCTCCTATATCAAGATTACTAAAAAAAAGTTCAATTTTTTTCCTAATACTTTTATTGTATCTAAATTTTGTTCTCCCTACAATTGATTTTTTTGGTCCAAAAGATTGAGGAGAAATTCCTATATGTTCCCCAACCCCAGATACTTAATGTGTTATGATAACAGCATTTGTTATATAATCTAGCTTATTCTCAGTGGTACTGTCATTTTCACTAAGTTCTCATCTGATCTGTTCTGATACCACATGGTTTTAATGGTAAAATTTGCAATTTCGCTTCAATGCTATGTTAAAATCTCATCATTACTCTTTTTAAAACTTTTATTGCCATTTCCTTTTACTTGAAAGATTTTGTTGTGTACATTTAGTCTGAATTTCAGAAATCTTCTTTGTAGCTGCGGCTAAATGGTGAAAAATTAGAAGAGCTATTATCTGAAAGAGCTGTACAGTTTCGGGCCATTCAAAGACGGCTGTTAACAAGGTTCAAAGATAAAACGCCGGCCCCACTCCAGCACTTGGACACCTTGCTAGATGGAACTTACAAGCAGGTCAGCATTATTTTAATGATATTTTCCCACTACTAGATAGAGCCCCCTTACCACCCCCACCCCCGTCTTACTCAAAAGCCAGGGACCAGAATATCACGGTAAAATAATTTTTTCCTGTGCAATTTGTAGAACGGTGAATAGTACATAAGCTGTAGAATCAGAAAAATTTAGGCTCAAAATCAAACCCTGTTACTTTTCAACTATGTAGCAATGGATCTATTATACAAGAACCATCATTTTCTGCATTTTTAACCCTCCAGGGATGCTGTGGAGATTTCTCATCAAGTACTAAGCACATAGCTAGTGTTTGATAAATAAATAGTCACTATTCTATTTTGTGAGGATCAGAACAAGGAAGAGCAATTGTGAGGATGGCGCACCACTTGTCAGTATTTCGTTCTGCTGTACTGGAGGTTGTGAGGAATCGGAACTGACTCAAGGGTGCCTAATATCAACAATTCTAATTAGTATTATTTCTAGATGTTTCTTGGTGCATCCTATTATCATCACCACAATTCTCTAATCATTTTCATAAACAACCAGATTACACCCCTTGTATCAGGTGTGTGGATGTTGAACTCTTCAGCAGTCCTTTGTCCTTAGATAAAAATATTTTTTTCCCTTCCTCTTTGTGAATTGAATCTTATGATTTGCATGGCCGGGTGTTCTGGCTCTCCCTTTTTAGATATTATCTACAGCGTTATTCAGATATTATCTATAATCTCTGCCTTGAAATTTTAGTTAAAAAAATTTTAATTTCACGGGTAAGTTCTCACTGTAATAAAATCTGCGTTGAATGACTAAACTACATTTTCCCACACGTGTACATGATTACACATGAACTAATGCTTCAGAATTAGGGTGGTCATGTGAATATTCTGTTGGGTTTTAAAATTTGAGTTATCAAGATAATTGCGTCTTCATAAACAGTTAAAACTAATAACATAGAGAGATCTTGTGTATCCTTTACTCACTTTACAGGTAATATTTGCAAAACATATAATATCTTGGCCAGGCAATCGACAGTAGTACAATTCATAGGTGTTATTCAGATTTCCACTTAGACTTGTATTCATAGGTGTATGAAGTTCTATGTAATATCATTCCATGTGTAAGTTCATGCACATCATCCCCACGTCAAGGCATTTAAGCCTTCCAACATCCCCTCATATTCCTCGCCCCACCATGATCTGTTGATTTTGAAAAGATAAATTACATCCTTTTTGAATTTCAGAATTAGTTTTCCTGGCGGAAGACAAAGTAGCTGGCTACATTTGTATTGATAATACATTTGCTTCTTGGCATATTCATGGCTATTTGAAATTTATTAATGATTTGAGGGACAGCCTATGGTTGCGGCACATTGGAAAGAACATGGGGCTTGAAGTTCAAAGGCCTCCACTCCTTCACTAGCTATGTGATTTCTAGAAGTTCCCTTACCCTGTCAGAACTTCGGTGTTTTTCCATATCATGGGATTAATAGTATACTGACATGAAGATAGTTTACCATCAGATATGTGTAAATAGATAGTCACTTGTTCTACAAATATGAATTGCCAATTTCTTTTAGGCTGCAAGGAGATTCAGTTATTACTTTGGTCAGTGACTGTGTGATTCCTAGGTCATAGGTACTTATGGCCCTTGTCTGTAACCTACAGCACTTTTTGTCTGGGTCCATTCCTTCCACTCCCATCCTTTCCTCATTTGTTTCATCACTTGTCTGTCTCTTTCTTAGGCTTCTTCCTATGTCTGTGTACAATGCTTTGGGTCTTTGGGGCTAAAGAGAGTCTGAATCTTATCCTTAGTGAGTCTATATCTTTTTGCAGACCCATGGCAGAAGGACATTAAATGCTTGATTTAGTGCTTTCCAAATTTTCTATACAGGAAGACTTCCTTTGTATTATATAAAAAGTGCTGGTTTTTTTCATGATCATTGCCCATTGGTACTTAGACATCCTGCAAAATGTTCCTTTTAATTTATTTAACTAATTTGCCATTTGATAGGCATTTTGATTGTTAATATTTTACTATAATAACAACAGAACAAATAATTCTATAATAATTACACTTACATATACATTAATTACTCTTTTGCAAGAATATCTTTGGGATAAAGTCCAGAGGTTTGGGAATTTTTCTGATTTGCAATATTATAGGTCAGATGATCAAAGTCATGTATATTTTTAAATCCTTTTTATAGGTTAAAATATAATGAACATGCTTTGGAAAGAAAAACATAAATGTGACCAGGAATTTGACTTAGTTTTAAAGTAACTTACTATTTCATTCTATTGTATATATTCATCATATTATAGTGAGAAAAAGATGTTGCTTGTTTAGTTAATTTCACCAATATAACAAAGACCATTTTAATGGTTTTCAGTTACTTTTTAGTGAGATTGTTAATACACAAATATAGTTCTCTAGTAGAAAATTAAAATAGTATGTTATTGTTGGGTATCTTTGGGTTGTTTTTGACTCACAGTGACCCTTTGTACAACAGAAGGACACACCGCCCTTGTCCTGGACGTTCCTGACCCCCAGTTGCTGTGTTTGAGCCCACTGTTGCAGTCACTGTGCCGATCCATCCTCCTTCTCTCTGCCCCGCTCCTTTACCCAGCACGATGTCCTCTCCCAGGGACGGGGCTCTCCTGATAGCTTGTCTAAAGTGTATGAATCCAGTCTTGCGTCCTTATCACTTTCTGAGAAGTAATCATTCAAATCTGTTCTTTTAAGTATTTCCAGACCTTAAAAAAAATTAGATTAGAAATGAAATGATAATTTTGTGAAGTTAAAAATAAGCAAATCGTATCATTCTATATAAATTTTCTTTCTACTCCTTTTCTCTTAACAGTATGTACTGGAAATCTTTCTATATTAATGTATAGATCTATTTTACAATGATTGCATCATATTCTGTATTATGAACATTTTCTAGGGTGAACAATTCATAATTTTTAGGCAACTGTTTATAAAACCTAACATTTAATGTTGAGTTCTTACACTGAGAAAAATCCATTTTAAACAACTTATTGTGACTAAACAAGCATATTACATATGTGACTATCATATACCTTTTATTCAGTGTTAGTTTTTCCTTAGGCCATTATACTATGCATGGGCATGATCCTTGGTATGTTAGTCAAGCTTATGAGATAATGAGCCATGCTAGAACCTGATCTTACTCTCCGTGGTGTTATTCCATTTTCTGACTTATTTTGAATTAGAAGAATTTTCCTAATGTTCCAACTTAAAATTAGATCTTTTCTCACATGCAGGGAACTTTCCATTTTTCTTTCAGTCCTTCTGTGGGTCTTATACCATTTTGGTTCTACCAGGAGCAATAAGATAAGCATGGTGCCCTGTGCGCTGAAAAGTTTTTCTTCTTTCTCACTTGTCATCATGTATCTGGAAGATTCTATATTTCCACCATTTAAGAAACCTGCAATAATTGACTTACCTGTGCATAGATGTAAAACACAATTCCCTCCGAAAATTGGAATACATATGCTGTAAAGGCAAGGACTTTTCTTTTTTGACTATCTTCACCTCTAATCTCAGCAGCTAATTTACTTCCTTGCACATAGTAGGTGCCCGATAAATATTTGGTCAAAGAATGAACTCTCTCGTCATACTAGCTGCAACAATTTCTTGAGCCTGATTCTTTGAGAATTTCAATAGAGAATTCTTTCAGTCCAGGCTCATGACTCATTTTTTATTCCAGACTCTTGATTTATACTAGAATACTTAAAAGCTACTACCAAGTAGAAGCTCTCTTCTCTTTTCTCATATAACATATTTGGAAAACTCAGGCAAACCATAATACCCAGGAGTGTTTTATAGCTAAAAAATATTCCTGGCTGAGAAATCTTTTATGCTCATGTATTTTTTGTATGTGTATTTACATGCTGAGGTTACATACAAAAATTCTTGGAATACCTGTGTGAAATAGGTAACTGTTGAAGTTGGATTAATCATAGTCTTAGTGGCATGAGAATTAAATAGGCTGTTTAGTATTAGCACATCCCCATAAGTATGAAAGAATTTGATTCTTTTCTCTTCCTCTTGGAAGGTCATAAAGTCTGACCTTTGAGCTGTTAGGATGGGGTATAGAAATGTACGGCTGGAAATAGTTTGGGAGTCTCCTGGGTGTTAGAACTGCCATAAATTCCAACAAAATCCTATGACAAACTGAAAGGGAAGCTCAAGGCCCATTGTACGAGGATGATTAAGCTTGGTTTAGTTTGTTGTAATGTGAGTTAGTTTGCGTGTTAGACTCATTTATGTAGTACAGCTAGCTTGTGGGCTTGTGGTATGTTTACAGGTTCTAAGGTCAAAGTTTGATTTACTAGCTCTTTAATCAGTAATGGTAGCTGCTACTATTTAGGCACCCAAAAAAGTCAGTTTACTTGATAAAACAATAACAAAGGCCAGTGAAGACAGTATGGTATTGTGCCCTTGGTGTTAACCAGTAGCCTACACAGCAAGCTAGGAAAATGGGTTTCTGATTCTTGAATGACTTGTGCATGACTTTGATGTAACCCAGCATGCCTTCTAGAAAAACCCACTGTTTCTAAAGTTGCAACAAAAGATAAAACATTGCTTCCCTTAAATGAATGCTAACACATTCTCTAGGGTTTGAAGTGGCACAAATGACCTGCTATAGTGTAATGGTTAATAACTGTCTAGAGTCAAATTGCTTGGGTTCCAGTCATGGCTTTGCCACTTGTATCTGTGTGGCCTTGAGCAAACTACTACAACAGACAAGAACAGAAAATACAATCCTCTCCCAACCCCAGTCTTCCCACCTGTAGGGGAGTCATAGCAGTGCCTCCCTGGTAGCATATTGGTTAGGGGTTAAACGTTGAGCTGTTAACCGTAACGTCAGCAGATCAAAACTACCAGCCTCTCCTCAGGATCAAAAAGGGACTTTCTATTCTTGAAAAGACTTACAGTCTCGGAACTCACAGGGGCAGTTCTGCCCTGTCCCACATGGTCGC